TGTGGTTTGTTTCTTCTTTCCTACTATCACAAATCTATCGTCCTTATCTCTCCTCATTCTTTTTTGTGTTTGTTACTCTCTTGTAACACATCTTCTGGCGCTCATATGACCTTATGCAGTTGCGAGCACCGCCATAAAACCTTTACTAAAACTAAACTAAACACAACACGGTGAGAGTGGGTGGTTGGCGGGTGCTCTGGTGTGGTTTGCTCCTTCTTTCCTATCAAACATCTATCGTCCTTACCTCTCCCTTTTCTGTTTTATGTTTGTAACTCTCTTTTTAACACTTCTATTCTTCGGCACTTATATGACCTCATTGTGTTGCAAGTGCCGTAAAACTTTCTAAAAAAATTTTTTAAAGCAAACAACCAATAACTACTTTCCATCGCAAAATGCTTGCCCCCCACCCCCGAAAATAAAGAAGAAATACTGTAATACACATGAACTGTATGTTTTGTTAATACGGAAGTGGATACATAGGTGCAAAACGTTCTTTATTGTTGTTTCTTCCTTGTATTTCCAGGTGAAAATGAATCGTATGCGCCAAAGAATCGCTCAACGCCTGAAGGATGCCCAGAACTCGTGTGCAATGCTGACCACATTTAATGAAATCGATATGAGGTGAGCTTACAGGTAGTAATAATGGACATGATAATGCCTTAAGAGAGCTCTGAGAAGTAGATATAAGTCTTTTGATTTTAAGTTTCATTAAAAATGTTAAGATTGCAAAACATTTTCTAATTCTAATGGGTAGATGATTTGATGCGATGTGCTCCTTCTTTTTTTTATAATGATACTATTGTCCTTCTTCATTCCTGGTGAAACATGGCACTTACAATGCTGACTTGACACGAATACAGGTCAGGGCACTTAAAATGTTTCTTGTCTTGGTGTTCTTACTTTTATCACTTCCTCACATCGATCATGCCTGTTTTATGAGAACATGTGCCTAGATGATTGTTATAATTCCAAAATCCTACCGGCTTGTGTCAAAATATTTATTACCCACATCATGGCACATTTTTTAAATTAACACTTTGCCACCACAAGGCTCATATATATTTAAAAAAACAAAAAACTCTTGCCATCAGAAGCAAAGGCATTTTGGGGAAAGTCCAAAGAAACCGGGTGGTAAACATCGCCGATTGGCGAGCTGAGGTGGCAAAGTGTTAAACTAAAGGTATGACTCGACTCCACTTGAGACAGCTCGTCAAGTTCACTTCCTTTGTTTCCTTTTCGTCCTCTAGCAATATAATGGAAATGAGGAGCAAGTACAAGGATGCTTTCCTCAAGAAGTACAATCTCAAGCTGGGCTTCATGTCGGCCTTTGTCAAGGCCACAGCCTTCGCCCTGCAAGACCAGCCAGTGGTCAATGCGGTCATCGACGACCTGGAGATTGTCTACAGGGACTATGTTGACATCAGCGTTGCCGTTGCCACGCCCAAAGTGAGTGGCCTCTGTGAAAATACGTAGCATCAGCCAGCTGTTCACAATTGTCCGCCCATTAAAAAAAAAAAAAAAAATTTTTTTTCTTTTCTTTTCTTTTCGTTTTTTTTTTTGGTTTTTTGTTCCTTACGCTTTGGTGTCGTTGCATATGCTCAAGAAATTTTTTGTCAAAATTCAAATTCTAAGTGGTGGAAAATGCAAGAAAAGTTGCACAAAATTCAAATTCTAAGTGGTGGAAAATGCAAGAAAAGCTACACAATGTATTTTCAGTTGTTAAATTAATGAAACAGGTTTTTTTTTCTGTCTCCTGAAAATTTTGCTTTGAGGGCTTAGAACACTTGAACAACTTGCTGAAGATAAAAAATAATTTTTTTGGGGACTCCATTGACAACAGTAAGCAATTTAATTGGTAATTTACATTTTTTGGCTGCTGTGTTGCGATGTTACATTTGTCATGGATATTGTTGTAGTATAAATGCTAACCTTATTCTTCCAAAAATGATTTTTTTTTTTTTTTTTGAATTACAGTGTAAATTGTATGCTGACATTTTCGAGAACTGAGGTCGGAATGGTAAATTAGTCAAACTCTTATTATGTCTCAAAGACGAATCTGGTGTCTTCTTTTTATCACAGTGTGCAGAAAAGTAAACTGTCCTTTTTTTTTTTGTTTCTTTTTTTTGTTTTGAGGCCAGGTCTCTTTCCGATAGCTGACCTTTTTTCCACCTTTGTTTCCATCCCTTTAGGGTCTGGTTGTGCCTGTGATAAGGAATGTAGAGGCCATGAACTATGCAGATATTGAGAAGACCATCGCTGAGCTCGGAGAAAGGGTAAGCACATTTCAGTACAGTTTTTTTTAACTTTTTTTTTTTTTTGTATCCAGCTAAATTACTTGCCTTATATATGATGAATACATGATGGCAGCAAAAAGTTTTGCTCTCTTTTGTTCCTTCCCCATATATTAAATTTATTGTTTTGATTGCTCTGTATCCTTGGTTTGTCTTTCTTTTTTTTTTTTCAAGCCCTTTCCTTTTGATCTTTGCTATGTTTGTCTTGCCTTCCCACCTTACTCTCTTAAAATGCTTTTTTGTGACACATTTTTTCTTTTCATTTTTCCCCTTTCTTTTTTAAACCCTTTTTTATGTGACTGTTACATCTAACCATACTCAGTGACCCGTGGGTGGTTGGTGGGTGCTCTGGTGTGATTTGCTCCTCCTTTCCTATCAAACATGTATCGTCCTGATCTCTCCTTCTTTTTTATGTTTGTTACTCTCTTGTAACACCTCTAATCTTCGGTACTTATATGACCTATTATGTTGCAAGTGCCGTATAACTCTTACTAAACCTCAAGTGACCCCTCTTTCGTGTTCCCAGGCCAGAGAGGGTAGTCTGGCCATCGAGGACATGGACGGAGGAACGTTCACCATCAGCAACGGCGGCGTCTTCGGCTCCATGTTTGGCACGCCCATCATCAACCCCCCGCAATCGGCCATCTTGGGGATGCACGGCATTTTCGAGAGGCCGGTGGCCATCAACGGGAAAGTAAGTCTTCTGTGGATTTTTGGTTCAGACTTAGGGTCGTTGTTACCTTATTTGTATGTAAGGGTTTGTGTATGGTTAGCTGGTACATGGTGCTCTCAGTGTCTACTTTTGTAAGTTTTCCTATTGTGAGGACATTGTAGCTTCTGGTCACGTTTGCTTGTTAACAACTTAGTTCTTGGTTGTTTTTTTTCCCCCTTTTTTTGGAGGTGGCACGGGAGAGGGGTGGGGGAAAGAAGGCCCGTCTTATTTTGTGATAAGTAAGGATTTCCAGTTAGATAATTTTTCTGACTTTCTTATTTCTACGGCCCATCTTGGAGATGGACTTGAATATCTTATCTTTTTTAGACCTTTTTTTTTTTTCTAACTTGGTTTTTTTTTTCCCCCAACTTTTATGTGAACTTTAGTTGATTAGGTTGCAGTTTTATCGCCTTTTTAATTTGCCTTTTTAGGTGGAAGTCCGACCAATGATGTACGTGGCCTTGACCTATGACCATAAGCTGATCGACGGACGGGAAGCTGTCACATTTCTGAGGAAGATCAAGTCTGCCGTAGAGGATCCCCGCACAATTTTGCTAGATTTGTAACATTAGCATATAGAGTGTTCTTGTAATTTGAAATGAGAATTTGTCCTGCTTCAGAGAAGCACTAAGTGTGATGGGAGGGTGGGAAAAAACAGAAAGATAGTGAATAGTATTTCCTTACACATGAACAGGATGTCTGTCAAACTTTGAACATCACTCTTACAATTGTACTTGAAACTTGAAAGTGAGGCTAACTCAACAGGAGTTTACAAAGTCAGTCTTGAGCTAGTGTTTGTCACACAACGTTGTTGTTTTTGTTATTGTCCTCTGCCTGGTTTGATATAAACTTTGCTTGTCTCAACTAATAGCACTGACACCTCGGGATTCCTCTCCTTTCACATTTCACTTATGTTACTCTTCACTTTCTGAAGGAGATCATACTTTCGAAGACTAAAGGGAAAACGATTTGGGTTCAGGGCTTGATTCTCACTGTTGTTGGGTTGTGTTCTTCTCTTTTCTATTGGGTAGAATAAGATAGTTCCAAGTTGAAAAGCTTATGCAGTTGCGAGCATCATAAAACCTCTACTAAAACTAAACTTAAACAAGTTGAAAAGTTTAAATAAGTTCTGGGGAAACTTGGATGAGGATGCCCAAAAAGAAGATGGAAGTATTTTCTCCGCTGGTCTTTTTGAGACAAAGTATATCTCCGAGTGGAGACGCATAGCACAGGAAAGCACTGCTTTGAGAGGGCTGTCGGAAAGGCTGTGCTCTGAAAAGGACAAGCTACATGGAAGAAGAGATGCCAAATATGAGAGGAATAATCATCATGTGGACTAGCCAAAACAGATAAAGAAACACATGACTTGATGAAGATGTGTTTGTGATACATGTGTGTAGGCACGCCATTGCGGTCCAAGTCTCCTTTTGTGTTGGAGAAGAGTGTACAAGCTTTTAATCGGTGTGGAAACGGTTTTCTTTGGACAAGATACCAAAGGTTCACAACAGATCTTTTCATGGGTTAAGATTTCATGATAGAGTAGGCCGTACCTGCCAGGAAGACCAGTTGAAATTTTGTTTTTGTGAAAGTCTGCTGAGAAAGCCTTGTGTAATCAATGCGTCGTAATCCCAGTCTGTCACAGAGAGGTGGTCCATAGGCTGTCATGGTTCCAAAAATTTGTGGGAGAGTCTGGAAAGTTTACAGTTGTAACAAACATCACCAGCCTGGCTGTATACAATATATTTATAGAGCTTGAGTGATGACTGTGTTGTGCTGGAAGATTTTAGCTTGCCTTTAATGATCTATGATAGATTGTGTAGGATAAAATCTCAGTTTAAAAGCTCTACCTCTCATACCCATCTACAAAACAATACAGCGTTGTATTTTCAATTGTTTTTATTAATTGTCTTTCACATATGATTAAAGTTTTGTTGTTTTTTTTAAAGGTTCTGAGCTGCCATTTTTGCTCTGTTTTTTCCCATTTCTGATTTGCTTTTCCCTTCAATAGAAATCTCAGGCACTGCACCCCAAGGTAAAAGCAGGCCTACTTTGTGTGTTGTAATTGTTATGTTTCTATCAAGGAGAAGGGTAGTATGGTTTGTGAACACTTTCAGCACTTTTAATAAATGTCGTGACAGACATAGATCATTTTGTGATGGAGCACACACGAGCCATATGAGTATGTATATTAATCAGTCGAAAGATCGGTTTGTGATCTACATAGTACAATTATGGTAAGCCCATAGTTCTATGTTTGGTTGGTTTTGTTCCTCCTCATGCTCCCTGTATCAGGCCCCTTTTGCAAATAGCTGTCAGTTGATCAGATTACATTTTAAAAAGAAGGAAAAAAGAAATAAAACTTGGGTTTCAGAGATGTGAACTTATGTTCTGCTGAGTGACAGATCTGTGCGTTATTAGGGTGTTATTGTATTGTGTTGCTGATGTAGTAGTATTTTTGCCATGTAGCGGAGAAGCACAAGAATAATAATATATAAATTATCCATGCAGACATTATATGGTTTTGTTTTTGTAGACTGTGATGTAGATCTTGGAGGTAATCTATGTGCGTGTGTGTGATACATCATGTACATGTGGAGTCTGTTGACGTGAGAGAGTTGTTTCTTGTACTTGTTTTTGTTATAGTAAACTGATGTTTCAGCAGGAACACTATAGGTAACGATTAATTTTTCTTCAAATGGGCCCATTTATTATCAGCGTCTGTTCTGACAAAATGGTTCAACTTCAGTTTTAGTGATTGATGGCTCTTCCTGATTTCCTAATCCCGTTCTTGTTGTGTTTGGTCTGTGGTAAAGTTTGAAAGGATTCAGCGTGTTTGTGTTGTGCTTTGTATGTACATATATTGTAGAGAATCTAAATTCTTGAGTCTGTGATGAGTGGATGATGGCGTGTTGGAAGAAGTACAGTTGGTTGTGTCTCACTCCTTATGATGTCCAAGTTTTTGTCATGATTGTCCTTGAGTCATTGTTTTTGGTGCTGGTATGATTTACAGTGCGAGTTGGGTGTAGTGCTATAGAAGTTTAGAAGTTAGAGGTCCGAATGATGAAGACGAAATCTGCATAGTTTAGCAATATGCATGTATGCTGTTTGGTCTGCTCATTTTCTGTAAGAAATTTTTTTTTTCTTTTCTTTTGGGGGGGGGGGTGTTGCTCTCCTAGTTTCCTTTTTTTAGCTTCTAGTTGTCTCTGTGTTCCTTTTTGATTTTCTAAATGCCAAAATTGGGTAAAGGAGAGGATAGTACGTTGGGATGCAATAAGTAAGGCAGGTTAAATAAAGGTTTACAATAGTTGTGTAATTGTGTACTCTCTTTTTCTTTGACTCCCACAAAAACGGCCATCCATTAAATTGTAATGCTTTAATATAGTGGTGGGTAACTTTATTTTTTTGCTCTTTCCATTTCCCTTTCTGGTGCCTTTGTACTTTGTTCCAAAGTAATGTGTTTCTTCCCATTGTGTGTTGTTGTCTTTCACACTGTGTAGGAATTTATTTTTTTGTGTACCTGTATTTGAAGACCAGATGTTCGTTAAACCGGAGTGTCTAACTACTTGCTTCAGTTTCATGTCTCTGTTGAACGTATGCAGTGTTGGTTTTTTCTGTTTTTGTGTGTTCGTATGTGTCTGTGCATGTTCTCTTTGTCAGTTAATGGAAACGTACTGGGTGTACAGAAGTTCCTCAATTCTAAGTACATGTACATGTATTGACTTGGATGAAACGTTTTGAGAATGTGCGTTTTCGTGCAGTAGATGAAATAAATTAATAAATTGGAATGAAACCTACTCTGTGACTGATGTTGTTTTTACTTTTGTATTGTTTAGTGTTTTTGGCTTATTATCTCTGCAGTGTTTGTGAGTGGCTGGCGGGTGCTCTGTTTTGGTTTGCTTCTTCTTTCCTATAAAAAATCTATCGTCACTATCTCCCCTCCTTTTTCCTCCTTTTTTGTGACTGTTATTCTCTTGCAACACCTCAAGTCTTTGGCGCTTATATATGACCTTATTGTGTTGCAAAAGCCGTAAATCACTTGCTAAAACTATACTTCTTCCATCCTGATCTCTCCTCCTATTTTGTGTTTGTTACTCTCTTGTAATACCTCTAATCTTCAGCACTTACTTATATATGGCCTTACTGTGTTGCAAGATCGGTAAAACTCTTCCTAAAACTAAAGCTCCGAAATGGTTCACTGGGTGCTGGTTATTACTGTGGGTGGTTGGTAGGTGCTGCAGTGCGATTTTTTTTTTCTTTCTGTCCTAGCAAACATCTATCGTCCTTTTTTTTCTCCTTTTCTTTGTGTTTGTTACTCTCTTGTAACACCTCTAATTACTAATCTGCGGCTCGTTTAGAATCTATGTCATGTGTTGCCTGTGCAGCAAAACGTCAACTAAAACAGGCACTCCTCCGTGGTTTTTCTATTTTCCGTAGTTTATTTGCAGCACAACTGTTGTTACTGGCTATTGCTGCTCGGTAACTTAAGTCCTAGCTCCTTCACTGCTCTAATTGTTTTGAAAGTGCTGTGACATCTCAACTATGACTGTGGGTGGTTGGCAGGTGCTCTTGTGTGGTTTGCTTCTTCTTTCCTATCAAACCTCTATCGTCTTTCTCTCTCCTCCTTTTTTGTATTTGTTACTCTCTTGTAACACCTCTAATCTTCGGCACTTATATGAATGACCTTATTGTGTTGCAAGTGCCGTAAAACTCTTACTAAAACGAAACAACTCTGACTCAGCTTGGTGCCCCATTCCACTAATGCTGTTTCTTGCGTGAGTGGGAGACGCTGTGCAAATAGGAAGTTCAAGTTCAAACCAAAAATTCAAAACGTATTAGATCTAATTAAAAGTTACTTTAGATTCAAAAGAATTTTCCAAATGGGTCGAGCTTGCAAACAGGAAAACTTAGACATTCGAAAGTGGGAGAGCCTTTCCAGATTTTTTGTGGTCAAAACGCAAAGAAATCAGATGTTTCAGCACAGAAAAAATCGGTTAAAAAGATGTCTGTGACGAAAGTCTTGAATTTGCGCTCGCCCGTCAGAGTCTGTTGGCGACGTATCTGTCCACTTCTCTTCTATGCCCCAGGAATTGTTTTGAAGTCATTTGGACTTAGATCTACAGACTTCAACATAAGTTTTGCAAACACTCTGAGTGTTCTTCTTGGCTTGGGTCAACCTGCACGTGGGCGTTCTTGGACTGATCCGGTGGCTTGATGGTGCTGCCTCAAGCGGACAATAACAGAGTGTGACACTGCAAGCCTTCTGGCAACTTCTCGGGCTCCAACTCCATCCTGCAGCCTTGCCATAGCTCTGGCACGATCAACGTCTCTCAGCTTTCGTTTTTGAGGTATGTTTATGCGATACTGGATTTTGCGCAAACGGCTGTTTATATTGCCACCAAAGTGAGCATAATTCGAGACCGTACGTCCGTTTATGACGTGCACTAGAAATTTTAAGTGAGGAATGTCCATGGTGTCGCACACAAGTCAATAAAAACATCAAATTTGGCTAAAATTCCCCGACGATTTGCGTGCTGCACGTGGTGGTTTTGCCCCTTTAGGAAACCTTGCAGTAAGCATTGGTAACCCATGAACACTTTCAGAGAAAAACATTTTGAAACATTCCTTGCTGTCTTTTTTTTTTCGGAGTTTTCAAAAATCAGGGCTCTCTGTCAAGGTGGTCATTTCCTTATGTTGAAGTCTGTAGGTTGTTTTTTTTGGTTGAATCTAAAAGAAAGTAACGCAGTATTTGCAAATTTAAAACAAAACGTTGAAAATGGCTTAATCACACTGAATGCCGCAGTTTTCTTATTCACCAATATCTGTTGTGTAGATTCTGTCTATGATGTCAGTTAGGACAGATGTTTCGTTGTTCCAGGTAGAAGACCTAAGGGGTGCTCTCGTGTCCTAGAGGTTAAGGTGTTGGCCTCTCTTTCAAAGGTCCCGGGTTCGAATCCGGATAGCGACGGAAACAATTTCTTCTCTAAAATTGTCTCCTTTCACCTCCTTTCCTGCTCTGTAGCTATGTTCTGCTGCACGCTCATATGACTGTATGCAGTTGCGAGCGCCTTAAAACACTTACCAAAAAAAAGTAGTTCATTCATGCAAATGTTTCATTAAGGAAAAGCTCAAATCAAACCTCAAATTAATCTATAATATAAACACACTAAACAAGAAAGAAAAGAAAGAAAGAAGGCCGGCTGGTGTCGCCAGAAAGAGCCAACAGAAAATAGTAGTTGTAATGTAGTCTTTCTTTCTTGTCCATGTGATTTTCGCTTGAGTAAGCAGCGTTTACAAAGACTTGACGAGTCGCTGGCGAAAATCTCGACCCGCGTGGCACTCTCTTTGTTGGGCCCGGAGCCTCGCGCTAGGTGGTCGGGCCAGACGCCATGGCGGTCAGACTGTGGCCTAAGTATCCCCTCACAAGTGTCACCTGCCGTCGCCGGACGCCGCACGGTTGTGTGGACAAGTGGACAGTGGTCAGTCAAGAGATAGTAGAAAGAACTCCTGGGTGGGGGTGGATGGTGGAAGGAGAGAGACCTGGGTGTGTATGGTGGTAGGGGTAAGACGAGGAGTAGGAGGGGTGGGAAAGGAGGGAGGAACAGAAAGAAAGGGGGTAAGGGCCGCAGAGGAGGAAAGAAAGAGAGGCAGAGAGAGAGAGAGAGAGAGACAGAGAGAGAGAGAGACAGAGACAGAGACAGAGAGACATAGACAGAAAGAGACAGACAGACAGACAAACACAGACAGACAGACATGTTTATTATACATTATTTTGTTTGATGTCTTCTGTACTTGAGGAGAAAAAAGAGTGCGGTGGGGGGGCGTGGTCGGGTCGTTGCATGCCTTGAGGGAGGTATTTAGTAAAAGAGGGAGAGCGTAGCTAGAAAAGGCCAAAGAAACCAAACTCTAGTACGCGTATTTCAATTTGTTCTTTGTTGGAGGTTGAATGCCCACCACCGTTTTCGGGGAGAAATGAAAGTGGGTGGTTGGCGGGTGCTCTGGTGTGGTTTGTTCCTTCTTTCGTATCAATCATCTATCGTCCTTATCTCCCCTTCTTCTTTTTTATGTTTGTTACTCTCTTGTAACACTTTTAATCATCTGGCGCTCATATGACCTTGTGCAGTTGCGAGCGCCGTAAAACCTCTACATGTACTAAAACTAAACTAAATAAATGAAAAAACGATGATGCTCAAGGCTGTTGTGCAAAGAAAATTTTAGTTTGCATCAAACTTAGGTCTTCTATTTAAAAAAAAAAAAAATTTTGGTAGTTGTTTTACGGCGCTCGCAACTGCATAAGGTCATATGAGCGCGTTGGACACATCTAACATTTTCAGTTGGTAGGAAAATTCCTCTGCTTATTGGTTTTAGACCACCAAGGGATCTTTAACGTGCACAACCTGCTAACTGGACCTCAGAGATTTTTTGCCCTTGTTCTAGAAGGCCAGGTCAGGTGTAGATCTTTCCTACCATAAGATAAGGGGTATGACTGAAAGACAACAGTAGCAAGGAGCCAAGGAGAAGCAGTAGAAATGTCGCAGAAAGAGTCAGGAGCCCAGATGAGGAGGCAAAGGAGATAAGGGGGTGGGGGCAGAAAGAGGAGACGAAAGCAGGCGACAGAACATTGCTAGAGAGCGGGAAAGGAGGTGAAAGGAGACAATTTTAGAGAAAAAAATGTGTCCGTCGCTACCCGGATTCGAATCCTTGACCTATGAACCGGAGGCGAACACCTTAACCTCTAGGCCACGACCCCTCCCTCCCGCAGCCGGTTTGGTCAGCCAAGTTTTCAACTTAAGAAACCTCCCAATAATTCCGTTTCATGGGTGGCTGGCGGGTGCTCTGGTGTGGTTTGCTCCTTCTATCCTATCAACTATCTATCGTACTTATCTCTACTTCCCCTTGTTTTTAGTGTATGTTAGTATTGTTACTCTCTTGTAACACTTTTAATCCTCGGCACTTAATGACCTATTTGTGTTGCAAGTGCCGTAAAACTCCAACTAAAGCATAACTCCGTTTCTTATTAACTTATTATCATGAAACAAATATTAGACTAAGAAGCGCGGGCTCATATGACCATATTATGCAGATGCAATCGCGTAAAACTCTTACAAACC